GCCAAGACTATGCACGACATACTCTACGCGTTGGACACCAAATGCGTGGAAGAGATCCGCAATATTATACGTTTGTCCAAAATGTTGATCGGCTTTAACCACATCTGCAATGAGGACCGCATTAAACTCGTTAAGCACTCATGCATTCAGATTTATACCATGCGTTCGGCCGCCTATTACGATGTGCACAGCGAGAGCTGGAATATTAAGCTAGTATGTTTTTGCTGCTATTATATCTAGATTCTAGATTATGATTTTAATTGATCCATGTCACTTTTAATATTTACAGGATGGTCGCAATACAGTAATGCTTAGACTGGAAAATATCCGCACAAATTCAGAGTCAGTTTATTCCCGACTTAAAGAGTATCTAAAAGTATTGAAGTATGAAATGGATTCCGACCACAGAGTCCTTGATTTGGTATATCATAAAAAACAACATTAACTAAAACCATGATACATTTTACTAACATTTTTATTATCATACATTAACTAGATGACCGCTATTGTTCTATTTAATCCCGATCACGACGATTTAGTTGACAAAGAAACTATCAAGTAAGTTTATACACCGTTATTTCATATGTAATAACTATTATTAACATGTATTAACTAATCGTTAATAATTATCATAATAGAATGGAGCAAAAAATATACATGTATTTATTGAAACGGTATTTACACCTGAAATATTCGACAACATGCGAAGCGAACGGACGATTTCTGAACCTATTGAACACATTTACCGACTTGTTTTACTTGGAGAATAGGGTCCGTCAGAATTTCCTTAGTTTCCGGGCCAATCAGTTCCATCCCGTTATAAATCCCGATTTTAATGACACTAAGAGACATAAGATTGACCATAAAGTAATCACTATTGATTCCGAGTCGGCGCCTGCCATCGAGGTATAAATGGGGGCAAAAATGTACTGAAAATCATTCAGTTGTACAATTGATCATATTCACTATTTATAAATGACCTATATGATATTTAATTATAATAATGATCATAACGTGTACTAAATAAATGTAAATATTTTTATCGTAATTAAAAAGTCTTATGAATATTGTTATCATTAATAAAATTACTTTTTAATTAATTGAAACTATATTTTTATAATATAAAGACACGGAATGTAAAGCTAATAATGCCCTCATTATCAGGTCTATAGTTCACGAAAGTATTTAATACAATAATTATCGCATTTATGTGTTAATCAGTAATATACCCAATGTACTTTAATTTTATAAATAAAAGTAATACAATAAATTATATTTTATTTGTTTTAAGTTATTATAAGTACAATATTAAATATAATTTAAATGCATAATTGAATTTCATAAACTATTTTTATATTTACACATTACTTATTATAAGTTATCAACATGTTTAACTAACAAAGTTAAAATAATAATATTAATAATAAATTTATTAATTAACATTTTGCAAAACTATCATTCATTAATAAAATTATACATTATTATGTACATTGCCCATTTTATGTTGAATTCTTGTAATAGCAATTCTTGTTATACATATTTAATCAATTTAATCAGGACACTTTTTTAATTCAATGTAAAACATTTGATTAAATAAATGGCGGTAACTTTGGTTACCTTTAATCTAATCATATTATTATCAAGCAATTAACTACTCTCACCATTTGTTATACACTTTAAGTGTTTAACACAATTATAAATAGTCTATATTTTGACACTATTGCCATCACATTTCAAAATTATTAATAAAAATTGCATTATGCATTTATTTACACTTGTAACTATCCTTGTGACTATATTGCACTAAATTTCAACATGCCCAGGACAGTCAGTAACAAACTATGTGTTGTCTGCGGGGATCAAGCATCAGGTATGTCACAATTATAATCTATATTGGTCATTTTAATTGTAAAAGTGAATGTCTATTAATTATATATTTTAAATAAATGTCCAGGTTACAATTTTAATGCACTAACTTGTGAATCATGTAAAGCGTTCTTTCGTAGAAACGCTCATAAAGTAAGTATTTATTTATCAATTTGTAAAAACTTAAAACATATAAAGTTTATATTAATTATTAATTAAAATACAATTTAATTTAAACCACCAGGAGTTTACCAAATGTCGTTATCAGGGTAGTTGCGTTATGAACATTGACCGGAGACGCTTATGCTCCTTTTGCCGGCTCAACAAATGCAATGAAATGGGAATGAGAAAGGTAAATCTAAATTTAAACTATCAATTAACTTTATTAGTAATTTATTAATTACAACACAATTTCAACCTACTTTATCAGGATTGGATCTGGAATGAGCAAGCTAAGAAGACACGTAAACTAAAAATTGAATTTAATAAAATCAAACGCGACCTCGAGGACTGTTGTACGGGCACAGAAGTAGCTGTGGTAACGTCAACAACGCCCGACTCGTTAACCAACACCATTTACACAATGAGTGCGGCACCCAATATGTGCAGTGTTGTTGACTATATACTACACTGCGAGCAAAATCTCAACAATATATTCGCCAATATCTATGTCAGAGCCGTTGAATTGGAGCTAACGGTGATTCCCATCGCAACGCCCGGCACTAAAACCGGCGACAATTTTAACCAACTCGAGTTGTGTCGATTGAACGAGCTGTTTAGTGTGACAAAACCGGCCGCCACCACCATGATCAATTCCGTTTGCTTACCATGGCCAATTGTCACTCCGCAGACTATGGCCGACTCACATCAGGCGATGGACAGCAACTTGGAGAACGAGATTAAGTACGTGGTCAAGTTGTTTAAAAAGCTGGTCAAGTTTAGTCAAGTAAACGATCTGGATCGAATCAAACTTATTAAGCACAGCTCCATTCAGATACACTGCCTGAGAGCTGTCACCAATTATAATGTCGATGACGAGTGTTTTTATTTAAGAATGGTATGTTATTATCAATTCTATTTATAATAAAGCTAACATGTTACAAATTAAATTATTTTATCTTATTTAAAGGATAATGATAATATGATTGCCAAGATTAAACTAGATACAATGCGACACAGCACAGGCACATATTCACGATTTAGAGAATTCCTTAAAAAACTCAAATATGAAATAGACCATGATGCTAATATAATTGACTTGGTATAGTATCTATTACTATTTCAAAATTTTAATTTAAAACAGTACCGGTATTTATAATTTTCCCTTAAAATTTAGTTAACCGCAATTGTTTTATTCAACCCTGATTACCCTGATCTTGAAAACTCCAAACCAATTATGTAGGTGTTTTAATACTTGCATTACCATTTATATTTGCTACCAATTTCGGATAGCTAAAAGTTGGCTGGTTTATTAAAACCTGTTTATTTTATTCTTACCCCGAACAGAATGGAGCAAAAGATCTACATGTATTTATTGAAACGATATTTGAACTTAAAATATCAATCTGAATGTACGGCAAACGTAAAATTCTTAAATTTAATAAATTCATTAAATGAATTGTTTTTCGTTGAGCACCGGATTCTGTTTGGCTTCAGTAAGAGAGACACACATACCATACCTCAACTGATCAGAGAAGTGACACATTTAAAGATTAGTGGCCTTTTCCAATTATGTTCAACATGATCATTATTTCATGTAATATATTAAGTAAAGTATTTACATAAATAAATATTTTAATTGGTAGTCACTAAACTAAATCTATAATTATTTACATTATTTATTTTAATAGAAAATTGTTGATTTAATTGCATTTATAAGCTTAAATTATTTTACCTAGAATTCAATCATTATCTAACTTGAAAATGTTATGCAGTGCACTATAGCATTTATATGCTACATATTTCACAATGATTAAGTATTTTTATCAATATTGATAATTGCCATTTAGTATAACAATTGTAACCACCCGTTAGTTGTGTAAATTTCATACAAATAAAAATTTATTGTTATAAATTTTTAATTAAAATTTTATTATTTAATATACGTCAACATATTATTATATATTAATTAATTGAAATTTAAAAACATTTATTTAAAACATCTCATTACTGATACCACTGAACACATAAAACCCAAATGTATATCAAATATAACAATGCAGTTAAGTGTGTGATTCAGCTTATCGTATGATAATTACAGGTACATCAAAAAATGTATACCAAATATCACACAAAAAATATATAAGTCATAAACGATATTAAAAAATATAATAGCAGTTAATGTTATTTCATATCTATTATGCAATCGTAATGTTTAAACACACGATGTAAAGTAATGTAAATGTCTGAAACAACAACATAAATAGTTGTTGTCAACACTGATTTCAAGTATATATTTTGGCAAACAATCAAATTCTGGCATTAATTCCAGTGATAATCATCATCACTACTGATAATAATCAGAGTAATCTAAACAAGTTACTTATTATTCTGAATGAATAATTGAAAAACAATCAGCCTATTTGTTGTGTGAAAAATCATCATTATAAAAATAATGTCTCACATATCATACATAACGTTCGTAATATGTGTGATAAATGTGTTGGTTATGAGCGGCGCAAACGGGTCTAACATCACATTCAAAGCCACGCCGACGTCCAAACATCCCATGAATTTTGATTTACTTTGTAATTACACATTGAATGCGAGGAAAGAGTTTTTCGCCAGTTTTAG